AAGTACCCCCAGAGTCAGGGGGACAAAAGTACCCCCAGAGTCAGGCTGACAGAAGTACCCCCAGAGTCAGGCTGGAGGTCACCTCGTTACCCTGCTTGTTGCGAGGCGCAGGAATTAAACTTGCACGCCGACAGCGACGCGGTCTGCTGGCATCACGCTGTGTCTTTCCACACCTGTGTGGGGACTAGAGTAGGATCTGAACAGAGCAGGGCAGGATGAGCCCACTGGAGTCCAGGGTTCCTGGTTGCTGGTGGCAAAACCGCTCCACCAGGGGATCTGCCCCGGACCCCCGCGATCCCACTATGACTAGAAGTGTCACCACAGCTCTGGCAGCCTGCCCACTGCACACAGACAAACTCAGGCCTGGAAAACAGTGAGCTCCTGGGCAGCTGATGAGAGGAGCTGTGGAGCAGAGAGAAGGCAGGGGCTGTACGGTACTGTGTGAAGGGGCTGTCCTACAGCTCTCACTGCACAGAAAAGCACGCGGGCTTCCTCAGACTGCTTCCAGGGAATTGGTCTCGTCAGCCTGTTTCAACCACCTCGTGTGCTGCAGTTGTCGAAATTATTGCACAAGCAACACAATTCCAAAACAATAAAATGTCAAAATTCTTTAATACACACAAACTGCTCACCGGCGCAATCTGACCAGCTATTTCATAAGTCACATCAAAACATTTACTCATTTTTACTCTTAAAGTGATATTCAGCTCCTCGATCTTCCAGTTTGCTATCCTTCACCTACAGCTGCTTCAAACCACTTCTACAGCCAGTCAGTAGGTCGGGCATTGAGCTACGCAGCTCTATTGCTACAAAAGGATGATAATTGAATCAGACACTCACACTTTCCAAATACATTTAATTAACAAGAGTATGTTGTTCAGCTACTGTTCTATTGCTTTTGAGCACAGGAAAACAGAAGTCAGGCAAGTGCCCAGAGCCACACCTCTCTAGGCCTCCAGAGTTTTGTCACAGATCGGGAGATTTTGCCTGGTAACGCGACGCGCCCACAGCCCGCCCTGCCTGAGCTGTGAGATATCGGACGTGTCAAGAGATAAGGGACACGGGATGAGATTCTCCAGAGAAGAGAGGAATGGACACAAGTCCGGAACCGTCACATCAGGGTGTTCTGTGGGGAGGCTGGATTCTGCCCGTTTCCCAGAAATATGTGGGGAAAACTGTCGGGCTCGGAGACCCCTACCCTCCCGGCTCTGCCACGTCTCCTTGGCCGAAATCAGTGAAGAATCAAGTGGAAGAAGACCTACAGCAGTTCAGGGAAGACGCTTCTATTCTCGCACTCCTTGGTCAGCAAGATCAGGGCACGGTCAGGCCAGGTCCACCTCTACCTCTGGCATGACCTACACATTGCAGGACAGTGGGACAGTGGCAGTGACCACTGTCCCCAGTGTCGCACATGTTTCTTGAAAATACCTGTACCTCACCAAGTATATTACTGAATAGTGCACTACAGCCTAACACTGCTGGAACCATAAAAGAAACACAGAGTTTATCTGAAGATCAGGATTTTTAAGTTGCGTTAGCATTTTTGTTCAATTGCTAGATAAGAGCACAAAGACATATTACAATTACACACATGCACTTTCTTGTAAAACTGTGGACACAGCCCTGGTGCTGTTGTTTGAACCCTGTGACCGCACACAGGGGAGAGGGAGAGTAATCCGATTGGCCCACCTTCCTCTCACACCACAGGGGGCGCTGTGCGAGGACCAGCAATGACTGGAGGAGAGGAGTGTCCCACACTGACAGCCGGGGAGCCACAGGGGGCGCTGTGTGTCTGAGGACCAAGCAGGTGTAACTGTGAAATTTACCTTACAGCAGGATGATGAGCTGTATTTCCCACAGTTATCAGGATATGAAACTGAATGCAGTTTTGAAATGTCCTTACTGGCCTTTAAACATTTACTGTCTCACAACACTGTCATAGTTCAGTGTGGGAAGACTATAATTCACTAAAATTCTGGATATTGACTTTTCCAGACATTGTCACTTAAAATATTCCAGTGTACAAAACCTCAAAGCCATTAACAATGAAACAGGAACTGCAGAAGTCATGAACCTCTCCTGACATCAGAGGGTGTCCCGAGCCTGGTTCACTGGCAGGCCGGCTTAGGAGCTCAATTCAATGAAAGAACATCTGCACTCAATCAAAGCTCTTTCAAATGGAGATCTTATTTCCACAATAATTCCTCCGACCCACCCATTTTTACTGGAAACTGTTTCACCAACAGACATTCCAAAGAGATAGAATCACAGCAGTTGAAAGTGAAATTCCTTTCATGTACACACCAGGCACTTCCTCAGAACCGAGAGTGAAATCACAAGCTCCTTTCGCTCAGGAGCCCTGACCCGGGGCCAGAGACGCGCAGGGCGCTCAGCCCGCTGCGGAGAGGCAGCCCAGCTCTGCCCAGGGGATGTGTGGCCAGGTGAGGTGGTCACCGGTCAGTCCCGCCTGTCCTCGCGCGACTTGCGGAGCGCCGAGTTGTACTGCAGGAGCCGGTCACACCTCTTCCTCCGGTCAGTCGGGCTGGCTGGCGCGGACGGGAAGCCCGTTTCGCCTGTGAGTGATCTTCCTCCGTCACAGAGCTCAGCTCTCAGCCACAGCCTCATTCCCGTTTAGTCTGGGTTTCTCTTTGGACTCTCAACTCTGACCATCCTCGTGCTCCTGGACTGCTTCCCCGGACCTGGGCTTTGAGACACTGCCTTGACCCGGCTCTGAAGTGTGCTCGTTTCTCGAAAAGAGTAGGGGTGTAACCCCGTCATCCTGGCCAAATTTCCCATTGGCCCTTACCAGTCATGGCCTCCTAATAATCCCCCTCTATGAATCAGCTACATTACTCTGCTCTCATCCCCACTGATGCCCTGCACTATGGCTGCCGTCGCATCATCCAGGTGGGGCTGAACACTGGTGGTGGTGGAGGGGATCCCCATTACCTGTAAAGCGCTTTAAGTGGAGTGTCCAGAAAAGCGCTCTATAAGTGTAAGCAATTATTATAATTATTATAATTATTATTATTATTATTATATCCTCTCCCTGCTGCAAGCACCACCCAGTTCCACAGAAATTACAAGTGTTGAATAACCTCGGACTCCTTCTAGATCATAGATTTCTAGTCCGGGGGCTGAATGTGCTCTGTTCCTGTAAATATCTCTGTTCTTTGTGTCAGGAACTCAGCACTGTGTCTGAAACCTTCAGTACATTCTCGTTGTTTATGGTTCTGTTTCATTTGTTTAAAAGTTGGCCTACGCTGTATTTCATCTAGACAAATGTGCGATGTGCTCATTGTTATTTCCAATCCTTTCCTAGTCTCCCAGTTTTATACGGATTACTGTACAGCTCTAATGAAACCACTTTCTAGATTTTCCTCAGATGTTTTTTTTTTTAGTTTTGCATTAGGTTTTAGGAACACAGCTGTTGCATTCTAATGAGTACAACATATTTAAAGAAGTGATTCCTATACCTTATAGCGGCTTGTAGTTATTAGACATATCTGTCCCTAACTGGGCTCTATTTCAGGAAATGATGCAGGATTGACGATGAGCTGAAGAGCAGTAGACTGGGACAGGACTGTGCAATCAGTACAGGAATACTGGAAACAGTGGAACGGCACTCGGCCACAAATACACAACACAGGAAGTCCAAGGTTAGAAAGCAGAGGTTTAAACATTTGATACTTGAAAAAATACTTTCTAATATGATCAATAGAGATCAGGTTCCAGCTGGAGAAATGTAATATTATTAATTGCAAGCCCAGGATGAACGCATATTAAAAAGGCCAAGAGAGAGAAGTGAGAAAAATTTCAATGGAGACTCAATTAGAAACAGTCTAATGACACTCTGAGCTGAACTGCAGTGGAGCCCAGTGTCCAGCGCTGATGGAGCTGCAGCCATCAGTGAATTAAGACTTTAAGAACTCAGGCTGGAATGAAAACCATCCCTGAGGGATGAGCCCCCACACCCAGTATGATTCTGAGGGTTGAGGTTGACCTCTGACCCCTGACCCTGAAGGGGATTCCCCATGAGCTGAGGGAAGACCTCTGACCTCTGACACTGAAGGGGATTCCCTGGGTTCTGCAGTTGACCTCTGACCCCTGACACTGAAGGGGGTTCCCCAGGGTCTGCGGGTTGTCCCCCAGGGCCTGAGGCATGACCCCTGACCCTGACACTCACATGTAGGCCTTGTAGTTGTTGCCGATCTTCTGGATGCGCACATCGTACTTGGCGTCGATGAAAGGCTCGGATGTGGCGTAGGTCTTGGTGAGCGCCACCACGCTGGCGATGTCCTGGAAGTCGTAATGGTTGTCCACTTTCACCTGGAACAGAGGGGGCTCGGTCAGTAAGAGCACTGGCCCAGTTCCCTTCCGCCCTTCGGGAAACAGATGCTACACCTGGACGTCCTCGCGAGGGACTCACACCATGACCAGCTGCCATTAATCTGAGCTCTTCTCTTCTCCAAGATAACTCAGAAAGAGGTAGCCTTAACTCAGTGCAGTGTTATACTGACTCAAAGTGCTCAGATCCCTCTAAGCGCAGGGCTGTGTCTGGAGTGGGCTGTCCATTTCTAACTGCTTGTTTCGCTCCCTGGAGAAACAAGCGCCTGACTGGACAGCGCCGGGCCTGGCCTGCTGTCCCCTCCACCACATCGTGCTCCCAGGGGGCTGCGGGGGCCTGCTGTGCATCGGGTGCGAGCTCTCAGTGTGCCGCACAGTGAGATGGGTAAGCTCCCTGGCGATTTCTGCTGTCAGTCTCTCACTGGTGTCACAGGGGCGCTGGAACCCCTCAGGAGTCTGTCTGAGGGAGACCCAGCGAGCTGGAACACTTGCAGAAGGGGTGGAGACGGAGGAGGAAGCCGTGACCTTACCTTTCCCATCCCAGAATGCGCGTGTCCCATCTTCACCACCACTGGGAACCTGGGCGTGGTGATCTGCAGCACAGAAAACAGAACGAAGCCATGAACTAGGGACACCCACCAGTACAGAGGTCAAATTCCACACAGTGCCACAAGCAGGCATATTTTGCTCCTATTTAATGGTTCTTCTTGGTCGTTCTTGTACATTAGGAGCAGCTGCAGTTTTGTGACTTCCCTCTGTAAAGTTCAATCACCTCAATCACCACATAGGCTTCAGTGGTAAAGTCAGAAATATGGATAGTTCACAAAACTTTGCATTTATAGAGTGCTGTTCATCCCAGAATATCTCAGTGTCATTCAGACAGGAGGGGACTCACTTCACCCATCATTGAAGTGCAGCCCCTACCTGAGCAACACTCAGCAGCTGAGCCAGGACACACCTGCTATTACAGTCAGGGCCCTGGGGTCTCTAGTGAACTGATAATAAAGAAAGTGGAGAGGCTGAGACTGGACTGGGCTGTAGGCTCAGGTCTGTGCTTTTTCTGAGACACTTTTGTTGTATGTCTTGTACTACCCACCTTCAGACTGCTGGTTTTCAGAAAGAGAATAGACTAAAACACATCACATGGGCACCCAGGCCCTCATGCCCTGCAATAGAACTCAGACATTGAGTCAGTGGCTTGTGTGGAAATTGCACAACTTCCACATGGCTGAACAGATCCTACTGACAGGAAACAGGAGAATCAGTTGAGTGCGTCTGCTGTGGCACACCCCAAGCCCCCTCACGGCTGCCACACGCCTGCGACCTTTTCACCCTTCACCCTCTGGCCAGCCTGTAACCACAACCACAGTGAGGTCAGGGCTATCTGCACCGGCAGGATCACGCTCTGGGCAGGTCACAGCGCCGGTCCATCTAGACACAGCTCCGAGATCATGACCTCTGCACTCCACACTTCTTTACTTTGTATTGTTCATAAAAGCGGTAACTTCTGTGACAGTAGAATTTACGGGATGCTTCCTGATTTGTGAAAGTCAGACAGTTGCAGATGAAGATGATAAATGACAAACAAATTGACCCGGTTTAAATAAATCAAGAATGGCCACCATTAACTATCATAACTTCCATGACTTTGAAGACCTCTGGAGAGATTGCTTTCCTTCTCTGCTAATAAAGACAAGTGTTCCTGACCCATCCCCGCTGTAGAAATGTGTGACATCACCGCCTGGCACGAACAAGAGGAGGCGTTTGGCCCATCAGTCCGTGTGACAGCAGCTCACTGATCCAAGGGTCTCTGTTTCTTCTGTTGGGGTATCGGCTTCAACGACATGGCTGGCAAGCTTGGTCCTCTTGTTTGGGGTCTGTCTTTTCCTGACCCTCGTGTCCCGAGCACTTCACCTCGGGCGTCCTGACACTCCGAGGAAAGCCTGGGCTCCTGAGGTCCGAGCAGACATGGAGACTGGCGTGGTCACCGTGAGCTGGTTTAGCAAAGAGATCAAAGAGATTCCGCTTCTCCACAGCCAGGTCAGGCCCTTACTTCCCCCTGGGTAAAGACCAGCCCACCACAGGCTGGACTTCCCAGCAGGGACTGTAAACACTCACATTTCTCCAACCACATACAGCGCCGAGACACAGTGTGTGAACCCCAGAGATAATGGAAATTTCGTAGTTTTGCCATGAGACCCTTCTTGGATCAAAGCCAGACTTGTATTATAAATTTCAGTTGTGTAATTTATTGTATCCTAATGTTAATCTAATCCCTATAAACTCCTGTCCTACTCTTCTATCCCTCTTAACCAGCTCGCGGATAAAGCATTTCACTGCCGACAACACCGCTGTATGCTGTACTGTTTGCGCACTGATCAATAAACCTTGATTGATTGATTGATTGACTTTATGTAAATATCTGCCAGGGCTTATAGCAACCCATTTCCCTTGGAGCAGATTGATGTATGATTGAAACGATGAGTAATTAAGGGCAGTGTGGTTGTGCAGAGTTTAGCATTGCTGCCTCACAGCACAGAGGACCTGGGTTCAGATCCTGGGGTACTATCTGTGTGGAAAAGGGGGGCTGGGCATCAGAATATGAACAGCATGTGAGTCAGAAGAGGGGATCTCTGTATTCATCCATAAATTCACTATATTCATCCATGAAACTACATTTGATCCCTGTTCCCGTCGATGAGATTTTCTAGCTCGATTTTATTTAAACTGTTGCTCAGCCCAAGCGGCTCCTTCTACGTGCTGGATGAGGAAAACGTTACCAGCTGTGTTTCAAAACAAGCGAGGGGCGCCCCGAGACCCCGCTCACACCGGCTAACCAGGCTGACGGGACTGAGCCGATGAGAAAGCCACTTCCCCTGTGTGTGGTCCCGCCCACTGCTGTCTGCAGAGTGGAGAAAGCGAAGGAGTCAGCCCAGGGGCGCCCAGCCAGACACGCACTCCGGCAGCACAGAACCGGCTCTCCTGTAGACAGGGGCCTCTCGACCGGTATTAATCTGGCAGAACGTGACGTCAGGAGCTCCAGTGCAAACAGTGTCAAAGTCCCCCTCCCCCAACACCACACTCTGCCACAGCACCAGCGTCAAAGAAACAGGCCAGCTCACTCCCGCGAAATTCCTCCTCTGAGTCTTGAGCTCTGGAAATGGTAAATGGTTTAAAATTCCTTTGATGTCCAGTTTCTGGATGGGGTTGCTCCCCCCGGGCAGCACGTTGGCGCAGTGGGCAGCATGGCTGGGCTCGCAGCGCTGGAGTTTCTGGGTTCGATGCTAGACCTGGCGTGCTGTCTGTGTGGAGTCTGTATGTTCTCCCCTGGTGGGTTTCCTCCTGCAATCTAAAGACAGGCTGGTAGAAAATAACTGACTTTTGGGAAAAGTGGCCCAGGTGTGCGCGTGTTCCCTGTGATGGACTGGCGTCCTGTCCAGGGTGTACCCTGCCTTGCGTGTGTTGCTTGCTGGGATAGGCTCCATCTCCCCCACAACCCTGAATTGGACTGTTATTACGATAAGTGTGATAGAATAGCGAATGCATTTTTCTAACTCATACAATGTTTTAAATCGCTACTTGTTGAGCTGCTTACTCTCTGCGTTTTCGTCTCGATTGACTCTGGCTTTTTAGACTTACTTCCCTTTGACCTCGGCTTACGGATTTCATTTTGGATTTGTTGCTCTCGGCCTTTTGGATTTCTGATACCTGGCTTTTTGAACTTAGTCTGTTTTTTTGACTATGGTTTGTGGATATCGTCTTTGGCTTATACACTTGGCTCTTTCATCGGATACCTGGCTTATTGGAATTCGGCTCTCTACTCGACTACGACCTCTGGATGACGCTGCTGGCCTTACTGTTTCGCCCTCTGCTTACGTCTCTGCACAGGCTCCAATATTCCCCCGTCTCTATTACATGATCGTAACACAGACAGAAATCAGGAGCTCCCATCACTTCTACAGCAATGACCCATCATGAAAGTCTTCTGGATTACAATCATTACAATTTTCCCAGAATTATTTCTATATATAATGTATAATGCATAATTTTTAATAGAAGGATTTCCTGAGTTCCAACAATCTGACACCTGCTATCTGTATTATTGATACAAATCTGAACTTCCAGAGACGGAGCGAAGACTAATCAGCCAGATGGCCAGAGTCTCTGGAAGGGAAATTTGTCATTTGAAATATTACGCAGGAGCTGGGAGCTGCAAGCTGGGATGGGCTGAAGACAATCTGCGTCAGCGTGCTGATCAGCTCTGGATAGAGACCAAAGATCTCATCACGGCATCATGAGCGTCAGCCAACCAGCAGCACGAATCAGGGCTTGAGAGAGTGCCTGCTGCCTCTGTGACGTCTCTGCCTGCTGGTCCGTCCGCCCACCTTGCTTGGCGTTCACGGCTGCCCACAGGGCTGCTGGTCCCCATTGACATCACTTCTCTGAAAGCCCGTCAAAGCTCGCCTTCCCAGGCATTCCGACTAAGCCTGCAGGGTCTTGGTCGCTTGCAGGAAAAAGCCCAGAAAGGTCACAGCTGCACGGAAGCCCACTCTGGCTCTCTCAGGAGGGCTGGGTTGACCTTTGACCTTGGTCAAACAATTTGCACAGCGCATTTGTGAGCTTCTTTGCTTTTCTTGTGTGCCCAGCATGTCATTGAGATGCTGCTGAAATTCGGGAGAGGAAGCAAAGTTCTTCGAGAGGATAACAGTCTCATACCATTGCAACAGTGTTTGCACTCAGAGTACAACAGCTGCAGTGTTTATGCTGAATCCAATCGTATTGACCTTTACAGCCCCCAGGGGAACTTGTCTTGCACATCAAGAGCTCATAAAGATATTAACGTGCACTTACAAAACAATATTCAACAACATCGCTCAATCAGAGCTCTTCCAGTATTCTTTGTAAGGCTCACACCTGAAGAAAGCTTCACAGCTGAAACATTGTGTTTTCTCTCTTTTCAGCAGGGAATAATCCTATGTATTACTTTTTCCTTTGCAGACTACGCATGCTGACACAGCTCCCCACCTGAACTACTTCTTTGTACAGAGTTTAAAAACAAAACAACAACAACAACAAGAATCCTACCTGCAAACATTTTTTTCATGATTTAACATGGGAATACTTTTAGGTATAAAAGAAGTAAATGCTCTCTTAGTTTTTATACAAGGATCAGGTACCTCCTCCCAAAGGGTAGGAGAGTATATTCTAAAAAGAGTGTGTTAGAGAGGTCATCTAAGATTGATGTGTAAGATTAACAACATGTCACTTCGTTAGAAATGGAATGAGTCCAGGAATGTGCCAGTAATCTCGCCACCAGTCCTGATCACTTCAGCTTGCTCAGCTTGTTGTTTTCTGCAAGGACAACGCATCTCCCCAGTTCTGAACACAAAAGGTTCAAACGCTCTGAATAAAACTCTTATAAAAAGTGCCAACATCGTGCTTTCCTGTGCTTGGCGTTTTGTCACGTGCCTCACATGGACATGTTCCATAAAACGTACAGGCTATACTAGGTCATCATGCTTCACTGAGAACTGAGGAAAGCCATCCACAATTCATATAATTCATCACATGAATCCTGCTGCCTTCGTGTGCT